AACACCTATCATAGCCCACCACCACCATCGTCACTGTTCACCACCACAACCCACCACCGCCAAAACCACAGTCGTCGCTCCACCACCACTACTATCACCCACCACCACCCACTGCTACTGTTGTAACCTATGGCTATAACTACCACCATCGTTAGCCAAAACCCATCATCACCATCAATGTTTGTCACCCATAATTGCCACAATCACCAAGGTCGTCGCCACCCATCACAAGCATCAACGTTTGCCACCACAACCATTGTCGGCCACCAACACTACCACCGCTCATCCTACTACAATTGGTACTTAAATTCATTTCTCTCTCATTTATATTTGTAATTTAATTTTAGATGCATATACAAATATATTTATTGTTGATTATTTTTATATTACTATGTATTTTCAGGGATAAACAATAACTAATTGTATAATATATTATATACTAAGCAATCCATCATTTCATATCATATGAGTATATGACACGTAAGTCATGACTATAATGCCATTTCCAATTTGCCTTAATAAGTCAAAATCATTACGAACTGAAACTTGTATCACCTTCCTTCTCAGGAAACTTGGGGAAGGGAATACAAACTGGGTGGGATGACGTGACGGAAATTAGGCTCAAAATCTGAACCAAGTTAATTTTTGCCTGTCTGCCTCATCTTTTAAAGCTAACTTTGTGCCTAACACTCTTTTCGGTGGAAATGATTAAAAGTTGGAGGATTAAAAAATAGGAAATATATATTTTCTATCTTTTAAAGAAGAAAAATATGAATGATACATTTTCTGTCTTTCATGTTTAGTAAGATAGATGAAAAATAAAAATAATTAATTTTTTTTTTTTGTGTTTGGTAAGATATAAACAATATATATTTTTTTAATTTTAATGCACATAAAATTATCCTATATACAATGTTATGCACCGAGTTGGTGGGACAAAAATCTAGTAGCCCTCGGTAGCAATGAGGCTTAGTTTGAACAACCCGGCCACAGTGCAGTTAAGCCTTTGTAGCTAGAATCTAATGACACAAATATGAAAAGGCATCAAGTGGCATGGCAGCTCATGCGGCTTCTGAATTCAACAACAGCAAAAATAAAAATTATTTAACTATCTTCTTCGTAACTTATAGTTTAATACAAAACATGATCCTCGATAGAGTACGGTGGCGAAAAATAATTTATGTAATTGACTTAATTTGTGTCATTGATATTACTCGTTATCAACGACTAACATCACAGTATATTACTGATCTTTGATAGAGTAGAGTGGCAAAAAATAATTCATGTAATTAACTTAATTTGTGTGACATCACATTATATTATTGATTACATAGTCACGTTAACCAGCTAATGCTCTCACACGAGAAGCAATTAATTAAAGAGGAGAGTAGTGGCCTTGGTAACAGAGCATGTGAAACGTGTTTCAATTGTGCCATGTCAAAAATCGAATGCTCTTATCACAAAAGCCAATATTTACTCCCTTGTCTTTAATTGTTAGTCATAATTCATCAAACTACGACTTTTGACATGGAGTAATATTATATGAATTTAAAAATTATTAAATTTAATTTTTAAATTTAATAAAATATGAACATGATAAAAGCACCCAAAATAGGTGGTCCGTTATGTGGAGTTTCTATCCAGTTCAGGAAGGGTCTAATCTAACCTTAATGGACATCCATTTCACAGTCATTCAATTATTACGCACTCTTTCTTTGTTTGGTCCATCAATTATTATTCAAACACACACTCACACACTATACGAATACGAATGCGACGTATCCTCTTTATTACCAACAAGCTGAATAGTCCGACCAGACAATCGTTGTTTGGAATATATTTATGATTGATCTCCACCTATTGCGGTAAGACAATAATGATGAAGGACTGCACCACCTGGTTTGCGTAGGTTTCAATCCTGGGGCACTTTAGATGCAATTATTTGGGGGGACTTGGTCCCATGAAAATGGTGTAACTTTCATTTTGGAGCAATCCCTCTTTTTATTGGAAAATTTTAAATGTGTTATTTAATATCTAAAAATTTTATTTTTTATGATTGGTTATAATATTTTATAATCGACCATATTTTACATCTTTTAATATTGTAATCTTTCTCGTTTCTATATATTACTCAAAATAAGTGTTTTGATCGGTATACGTCATATAACGTAAGATGCTTGTGTATATATTTACTCAATTTTCACATCAAATTCGAAGAATGATTATGTCAGTTGTTATTTGCCTAAAGAAATTGATCAGAGTTTAGTTATGTTTTTCCTGTATTTAAGGGATAAATTGTGGCCGAAGGCATAGTGTAACATAAGTGAGAAGTGATGTATTTAAGAAAAGGAAAAATTCAATGTGAATGATTTTGAGAGGAATATTGGTGATTATTGGATAAATCTATTTGAGACTTTCAGATGAATTTATTAAAATTTGTCTTATTTTTTATATATTTAATATCACTTTAGAGTTTGTAAAGATGTGTTTCACGTGGCATAAAGCTTGCTTAGTTGCCACTGAGATTCTTCCTTGATGTGTGTCCTAGTATGTGCGCCTCCACACACAGAGGAAAGTATAATTTTGTGTTATACAGAGAAATTTGTCTACATAATGATTTGCTTTCAAAGCAAAAGCTCAAAAATCACATGACAAATGCATTTTTCTTAAATTTCTTTGCAACCATAAATTTCTGTCAATAATGTTAGATTGATCAAATAATATGCAGCTTGATATAAAGGCATTTTTATTAATTTAAAATTCAAAATTTATTTATATCATTTAATTTTTATTTTTAGTCAATTTTTTTTTATCAGTGTAGTGTTACCTAATTTCTACATATACTGTTTTTCATTATACTTAATTATCCCTTAAATTCAGAGCTCCAAATTTTATTTCTAAATTTGGAGCTTCAATATTTTGATTTCTAAAAATTCAAATTCTATTTTTTTTAATTAGGGTACAACGTAAACACATAGTAGGATTGTCAAAAAAAATCGTAATTAGAGAAATTAATGCTAATTACTGCAGTTTAAACAATTTTAATAGAGTACCACAAACACTACAACACTAATTTCAGTTTCAATTTTAATTGAGAAAAAGCTATTTGTATAAAAAAAATTGATTTCATTTATTGATATAATGACGTGACTTTATTAGAATTATTGGATGAAAAACAAGTTTTAATGGTTAATAAGACCCACAATCAATCCATAGATGATTGTGCGTCAAGTAAGCAATTTAGGAACCCTTGTTGTCTTTGTAAAGACATCTCTAATGTTGACTCAAATGTTTATTCAAAATTTGAGTAAAAAAAATTAATTTGATATAAGACACTTTAATAGACAAATTTAAATTTAAAGAAGAGCAAACTCTAATTTAAAGTAGGATAAACTCGATGAAATATGATCATTAAATTTTTTAAAAGAGTAAAATTTAACTATTGAAGATTTGAGTAAATATTTAAATCTATTTTGATTTAAGTAAAAAATTAAATATTTTTTTAGTTGGTATAAATTTAAATTAAAGAGTGAAATTTGTTTTTAATATATTTTTACTTAAATTTAAATTTAAGTAAGGTAGGGGAGGTAAGTTAACGAGGGAGAAAGCGAGAGAGAGCTGGAGAATCGAATACTACACGTCGGCAGTTTACACATGGCATAGAGATACTGGTGAACAGGGAGAATAAAAAGAGAGAAAAATGCGCAAACAGCACATTTTTTTGGGTATATGGCTAAGGACAATTCTCCAAACGATAATGTACAGGCTGGCAATCCCAATAACCCACGGCATAATTCATGCGATTTGACAGCTTTGTTTGCTGACGTGGATTCTATTACTATTATTGTCCCCTCTTCCTCTTCCTTTTGGCCTCAGACAGCGGGAGTCTTAAAATTTTCGACCGATCATAAATTTTTATTTTATTCATTATTATTTTATCATATTGAACGGTTAGTAAAAAAAAACGAATAAGAATAGAAAAGAATTTTTAATCTTTCGATAATTTTTGGGTAAAAATACAAAATAGTCATTCATTTTTGCATTTTTACCTTACCTTATTCGTAATAATTTTTTAATATATATATATATATATATATGAACTAAAAAAATCCTAAATTCTAGCGGAGCAATTATGATTTTAATATTTTTTCATATGGTTTAAAGTTTAAACTTAATTTAATTGTTATTATATTTGTGTAACAATTATGGTGGATTGATGTTCATATTTTTTGGTGTTTTATTATAATTCTTGTTGTAGTTGTTTTAAATTTTAGTGTTAATTAATTTATTATGTTGTTAAATTGGTGCATGTTATTTAATTAAATTATTAAAATAATCAAAAAAATTAATTATTACAAAAATATTTATCCGACTTCTTACCTGATTCGGGTAAGAAGTCGGGTAGGAATACCACACCTATCGGATAGAGTAGGCAAAAAAAAAACTCTTCCGCAAAATATCGAGTAAAAAAACAAAAGAACACACTTCCTACTCGTAGGATAGGGTAAACACCCCTAGTTACCGGCTTACCCATACACATTACATACATACATACATACATACAAACAAAACTCTCACCAACCTCTTTTCTCTCTCCAATACTCGCGTTTCTGTTTTTTATTATATATATATACTAATCATAATTTATGCTTGAAAATACGATAAAATATAAAATTCAAACGTTTAAAAAATTGATCCTGTTATATTAAATTTTTTCAAAATATATTAACTACAAATTAATTAAATATTAAATGAATAAATATATGATATAAATGAGTGGTGTGATATTTTTAAAAAAATATATATATAAATAATTAAATATGTGATAGAGATGAGTGATGTGATTTGACGTTTGACTCTAACAAAGTGATGATGAGTAAGGTAAATGATTGATGATAATTTTGAAGAAAAAAATATGATTGAAATAAAATTTAAATACACTCATATTTTATTTTATATATATATATATATGTTTGTTTTCTCTCTCCACAGCTCTATGCGGAAAGAGTGGAGGTGAAATCAAAAAACTATTCCTCTCTATACTTCCATTTCTGATTTGATGATTTCATGTTTTAATTCTGTCTGTTCTCTCTCTCTCTATACGGCAATCAGAGATATGCAGTTAGCTTTCCGTTTAGTCTAAATTCTAGGAAGAGAGCGATTGGGATTAGGAAGAAAGCTATTTTTGATTTTGTCTGGATCGAGCTTCTCTAAAATGTTTTTCTTGTATACCTTTTTCGTTCCTGAAGAAGCCAAGATTGAAGAAGTGGAGTGGGAGAAAGAAAGATAACAATCTTCAAAATATTTTAGAAGAGCCGACGAAGTAGACAGACAGATATAAAGACAGCATACTGTATATGTCCATTTAGATCTGCTTCTGCTGGTAATTCTAAACCTAATCCATTTGTGGATTTCTAATGCTATCGTATGTAACAATTTAGTCGTTTATCAAATAAATTGATCTGTATAATTTCAGTATATAGATAAAACTGTTTTTTTTTTATTGAATTACAAGGATGTCTACTTCAGTTATGAGCGATGCAATGATGATGACAGCAACGGAATCACAAACTGCAACAGCAACACTTACCTCTCAAATGGAGGTGGATTTCGCGAAATGCGAATGTTGTGGATTGACAGAGGAGTGCACTTTGGCATACATAGAGCGAATTCGCGAACGCCATCAAGGCAAATGGATCTGCGGACTCTGCGCCGAGGCTGTCAAAGACGAAATCGTGAGGTGCGAGAGCGAGAGGCTCATCAGCACCGAAGAGGCCTTGACTAAGCATATTAACTTTTGCAACAAATTTAGCTCATCAGGACCGCCTTCGAACCCTGCGGTTCATCTGATTACCGTCATGAGACATATTCTGAGGCGGAGTTTGGATTCTCGGAGATCGTTAAAGTCGGTGCCGAGTAGTCCGACGAAGAACATCAGAGAAATAAAGCGAACGGTGCTGGCTCGATCGGAAAGTTGTAGTCCTACCCTTTCTCTGGTTAATGACTCTTCTTATCATACTGCGAAAGAAGCTACTGAATGAATATTTTCTCGAAAAAGGAGAGTGGAAAAAGAAATTGTAAATTTCATTTCAACGCCTTTAATATGAGAAAAAATAAATAAAATAAAATAAAATTAGATGCCTAGTTTAGTTATGTAAGTTCTGAACAGAATTAGACTATTATTTCTTTTATATAAATATATTTTCAAGTGTAAATAAACTGCTGCTATTATCAGAAAAATTTCTTTGTCAATTTTTTTATTACAAGTTAGATTGCCATATTTAGATATATCATTAAGCTTCCAAGTTTGATTGAATGTTTGTGGAATTTCTTTCTTCAATACCAATGAAAGAAAAGGCATGGAGGGTTTGGCTGTTGCTGTTACAAGTTACTACGACATTACTGGCCTATTCTTAGGAGGAGATTCTGTTGCATATTTACTGTGTAGAAACAGGAAACATTTGATAAGATAGAGTTAAAAATGTTTTATATAAAAAAAATTAAGATGATAAAATAATTATGTAAAGTTATGGTGGTGAAATTGTATTTCTAAAAAGTTTACATAGTAATAGTTAACTAGTAAGATAGAGGTGTAGTTATATAAGACATGCATTGCAGCATAATTAGTCAAGCTATAATTAAATAATTAAAAATCCTAAAAAATAAAAAAAAAAGGTGAGAAAGAAGGATTTTTAAGTCATCTCATACATAATTTGATTGTTTTATAATATAGCAAAATTTGGTACACAGTGTCATTTAGTACCCCATCTCCTTTCTTTTTTTAATCAATGAAAATTTGACATGTGTAATTTTTATTTGGGAAAATTTCAACGACACCCCTCTAGTTGACCATATCTTCAAAGACACCCCTTCTAGTTTCTGAATCTTTAATGACACCCTTTCTAGTTTAATTTAAATATCACTAACACCCCTACTATTAAACTAGTATTTCTAACAAAAAAAAAATTCATCTAAAATACCAAAAATGCCCCTACATAATTAAAATTTTTAAAAAAAATCATAAATAACAATTTTAGTAAATAATTTGTTAGTAAATACTAATTTGTTATTTACTAATTCGTAAATTTTTTTTAAAAAAATCGAGTCTATTAATTTTTTTTTACATATTAAAATTTGACCCTATTTGAACACTACCCGAGTTGTTAGCGCCGATTAAAATTTTCTTTCGAGTCGATTAAAATTTATATTTTTTTACTTATTAAAATTCGTTTTGAATTAAAATTAGATTTATTAAAATTTAAGTCAATTAAAATTTATATATTTTTATATATTAAAATTTGGGCTGATTAAAGTTCAATGCGAATTAATTAAAATTTGATTTGAGTTGATTAAAAATATTTTTTAATTGGCTCAAACAAAATTTTAATTAACCCAAATTCTAATACATAAAAAAATATAATTTTTAATTGACACAAATTTTAATATGTAAAAATAAATTTTAATTAGCTTGAATCAAATTTTAATCGGTTCGAATTTAACTACGTAAAAAAGTTAGAAAACAGAGGAAGTCTCATTGAAGATATGTTTATCTAGAGGGGGTTTTATTGAAGATATGTTTATCTAGAGGGGATGTGTATGAAGTTTGTCCTCAAATATATTATGGACAATTTAGTAAAATTACATTCTACTTAATATTTTTAATCTGACAAGAGGTGTCATGGAAGATTCAGAAATTAGAGAAGGTGCCCTTGAAATTTTTTCTTTTTATTTTAATTTAAAAATCAATATATCAACTTATTGTCTTGTGATATCATAGCCCGTCCTTTACTTTATACCAAGCAAAAAAAACAAATGACATGTGTATGGAAGCTTCTGGAAAGGGATTCTAAGTGAATGAATGGATGCCCATGACTAGATTCTTGAGAGGGTGTAGTGGGTCTAAGTTTTCCACTTTGGCCACCAAACTTCAATCGTCTCTTCCGGCAGAGATCCAACATAATCATTTCGTTATTTCACTATTATTATTATTATGAGACCCATAAATAACTAAAGTGAACTTCATGTATTATTTGGTAATTTTTAAAAATATTTTTAGAAATAAAAATATATTTGTGTTAAAATTTTAAGTAATATATAAGTGCTTGTTATATACGTTTAAACCCCTATATATGGAAGTACACATAATTAAGTTTGAGAAATGTTTGCAAATCTAACCAAGAGAAATCATGTTTTTGTCTTCTGGGGTAAAATTAAGGCTCTGTTTAGTTTACGTCTCAAAAAATAATATTCAAAAATAATTTTTGGAAAGAATTTTAAAAAAGTATTTTTTTTTGATATTTTCATATAACAAAATTTGTTTGATTATATGATTTTGAAAATAGTTTTAAAAAATAAAAAATAATAAAATCTGTTTAGACAATAATCCACAAAATCAATTTTTAACTTATAATTTCTGACTAAAAAAAATTATCACTTCTAAACCTTCTATCCGGTTACTCCATGTCTAGAGCCTTCTCTCCCTCTCTAATATCTTCTTACATAGCAAAAACATACACACACACCCACACATACAACAAACAACAAATACACACAGCCATCACACACACTCATATACATCACACAATATATATTTATACACACACATACACGTAGAGATTTATGTATATATAACGATTTGAACATATATCTGTGTATATACATAGATATGTACATATATAGATCTATTGCAGAGAGAAAAAAGAGGAAATGAGTTGTGTGATATAGAGAGAAGGCTATAGATGTTCATCGTCGACCTTTGGCCTTTGTCGGTACTCCTACGTTGTCCTCGACCTTCAGAAGAGAAGGAGAAGACAACTGAGTTCGTCCTTCTAGGTCGGAGGAAAATTAGGAGTTTTAGGCTTAAGAGAATATTTTGTAGTTAATGGGATTCGATGGTGGGATCTCATTAATTGGAGCTTGTTTCTCATGTTTTTACTATTCTTCAAAATTTGTTCCCAAATTTAGCTAAATTATCCCCAACATATTCTCTTAAAATCTATCTCAATTCCCACATTTTTTTGAAAATTAGAGATTGAAAAACCTAACCAAACATATTTTCTTTGTTTTTAAATTTTTAAAATAAAAAATTATTTTTATAAACCCAACTAAATAGACCCTTAGATTTTTGCCTTATAAACGTCTTATTGATGCAAAACAAAAGCATCCATCATTTCTTTAGGGAATCAAGTATCAACATGCCTCTTAAAACAAACCATCTCATCAAAAGATCAGCCGTGTGGCAAAAGTAACAAAGATTATGTGACTCGCTACGTTGGATTGACATACAGAATATGACAAAATACACTTGAGCCATGGTTAGCCGTTTGTTTTTTCTTAACGTTTACAAGCCATCCACCAGATTAGACAGGGTATGCTGTTTTGTTTTTTCAAGGAAGGAAGTGAGGAGAAGCAACTTATTTGGATGGTCAGGTTTTGTTGGCTTATAATTGATAATCATCATCATCACTTCAAAGACAAGGACAGTTAATTTTGTAATTGATAAATTCTCTTTCAGTCGACTCGAATTTCAAATATTCTCTTCATTTTTAAATATATGTCATTTTACATAATTTTTTTTTCTCATAATATCTGTCGTTTTATGAAATCAAAGTATAATAAATATTTTTTCTTTTAAATTTACCCTTATCTCTATTTTTCAATAAGTGTTTAATAGATTAAGTGTAAGTTAAGTACTTTTCATATTCCTTTCCTTCTCGATACATATTGAATAAGAGTATTTTAGTCTTGTGTAATTATTTTTTATACATATTAGAACTATTTAATAACTTCATTAATTCTTGTACAAAAACCTTAAAAGACAGGTATTTAAGAACGGAGAGAATATATTATTAACCAATTATCACTCGCTCTTATCATCCTTTTAATAACGTAAATAAGGCATTCAAATCCAAACCTCTCAACTGCTACGTAATTTGGTTGTTCTATTATTATTTTTTTAATCAATTACAAAGACTTTTTCAAGCAAAATTCATTTTTAATGCCGGAAAAGAATTGGTATAAACAAGTTTTATGTCCTCAAAGCTTCCTATTCCCCCCCCCCCCCCCCAACAAGTTCCTGTGTTGATCCACACAAACTCCGGAGGATATTCGGATTCTAAAATATTTACAAATTTGGTATACATGAAATTTAAAGTGCCGCTGAAAAAACATAATTCAGGAATTGATGAAGAAAAAACAACTTGTGAAAAAGATCAGGATACATGGAAGTTCATGAAAAATTGAAAAATCAAATCTATCATCAAATTGTCAATTCAAATGAACAATATGCGAAGTTCCCATCAGAAGATGAGATGTTATGCGTTAAGAAAAGGGATTGAATAATTCGTGGTGGATGGGATTCATGGGAATGATAACAACAAAGAGGTGGGATGGTTTGATGAACTCACGGTACTGGGCGTGGGCGATGGATATGTATGTGATGACAGTTATCGAGGTGGACAGATAAATTGGCATATACACTATATATATATAATAAAATTCATCACAATTCAAATCTCAAAATATAAATAAAATAATTTTTATTTTTCATGATTGAGATCGCTTTAAATCACTTTAAAGTTGATCCGAGTGTATTTGGAGTAATTTTTCAAAAGTGTTTTTAAAACTTATAACTTTTTTAAGTATTTAAAAAAAAAAATTAGTATTTGAAACAACTCCACCACTTCTACCACCTCAGCATTATTACCACTACCATCACTACCGCCACTCCACCACCACAACTACTCCCACCCTCACTATCACCACCACCACTCATCATTATCACCACTACCACCGCCACCCCACCACCACCTCTGTCACCTCCATATATCATCACCCCACCACTGCCACTAGCGCCATCCCACCGCCACTACCACCATCCCATTGCCCAACAACTACACCCACCACCATCACTACTATCACCACTGTCTCACCATCATTCTTACCTCTACTGCCTTATCACCCTCTCACGACCATCACCAATAGCACCACCATCGCCACCGTTGTCACCCCACCACCATTACCATCCCCACCGCCCCACCACCACTATTGTTACCACCCCATCACCACCTCTGCCACAACCACTATTGCCACCCACCACCAATTGTTACTTTTATTATCTACCACCACTACTCATTACTATCGTCATTTCATTCTTATATTTATTACTATTATCACTATTATTCCATTACCACCATTGCCCATCGCCA